TTTGATCATTTTTACTCATTTTTGCAAAGTCAATTTGTGATGCATTCGCATAATGTTTTTCAGTAATATTTCTCCCTAAAAAACGTCTCATCATAATAAGTATTTTTACTCGCATATTTATTCGCTTTTTCAATAAAAATGAATATTAGGAAGCAACTTTTCAAAGACAGTCATGCAATTCTCGGGAGATAATAATCGTATGGTGATTGAAAATAGCTTTCTTGAATAATTTTTTTCTGTGAACTTTCGAAAAGGTTTTTATGCTTTGTGAACATAGGAATGCTCGGATTCAGCAAATTTTATTTGAAATTTCTTTAAACCGAATACAATCTGGAGTTTCTCTCAAGATTTGGAAAACATTTTTCAACCCGATAATTACAGCAAAAATTTATTTTGTTGTAAATTCACCAAAGATTTTTATTTGAAATTAAAACTGGGTGATTTTCAATTTTCTGTTCAAGATTCGCTGTTCTGCTGATGAGAAGATGAATCTGTAAATTTATCAAATGAACCTAAAAAAAAATTCCGTCATTTCTTCCGAGTCGTGGGAAAATTGGCAATGAATTATTTAGCTATCTTTTTAATTCCGAGTAATGACTGAATAACGGCGTTTGTGGATCCGTGCCCAAGGGCATGTTTATTATTTTCTTGTCGGATTCATCAAGAAATGAGACGTAACAGCATTCAGCTGACGACCCTCGAATTCCGAAAGCGGAAAAGTTCAAGGAGGAATTTGACATAATCGAGCCCAAGGCGTGGGAATAAACACGGTCATCCGTAAATTACCGGCCTAATGAAATTGTTTGAGCGGCTTTAAAATGATTCGGGTAAACAACCTTGTTGCTTGACTGAATAAGCGATTCAATGTCACGCAGTTAAACTTAATTTTATCACGATTTTCCTCGTGTATTCCTTTATTTTTCTTTCGAAGCATCATCATGTTGCGGGTCACGAATCTCACGATTCATCCGCGTGATTAAACAGCATCGCGGTGATTTTCGCAAAGATCAGCTTCGAATTTTTTCAATTATTTTCTGTCCAAGATTTCACACTTGTACGCAATGAAAATACTTGGATCGCCGGCAATTTTCGCTGAATTTCTGAAAAATTTTCACAGTCATTTAACATTCTGGGAACATTTTCGAAGAGGCACTTCATTTAAACGAAAAAAGAATTGAGCTATATTCACTTAAAATTCAATTTTGATTATCAGAATATAACTTTTAAATTCCCACAGTTAATTTATTTGATCTTTGAAAAGATCATATGAATTTCTGAGGAAATTTTACATTCATTTAACATGTATTCCGGGAACATTTTTGAAGAGGCACTTCGTTTAAAAGGAAAAGAAAACTTGAAATATATTCACTTAAAATTCCATTTCGATTATCAGAATATAATTTTTTTAATTATCACAGTTAATTTATTTGATCTTTGAAAAGATCATATGAATTTCTGAATTTCTGAAGAAATTTTACATTCATTTAACATTTATTCCGGGAACATTTTTGAAGAGGCACTTCATTTAAAAGGAAACAACTTGAGCTATATTCACTTAAAATTCCATTTTGATTATCAGAATATAATTTTTTTAATTTCCACAGTTAATTCATATAATCTTTGAAAAGAAAAGTCAAACTTTCTCCTAGACTTAAAGTTCTTATTGCTGCTTGCCTCTGAATATTTTTACTGGTCAATGATCTGCAAACCAGAGAAAAGTTTTTATTATTTTCAGTAAAAAAAAGTATTATTGGTGAACTTATTGGATATGATTGAAGGAAGGAAGCATTGATTGTTGTACCCCAAAAATTCTTCATGCAGTAAAATGAACAATTATGAAATCATAGACGACAAGCAATCAATCAAATAATAATTTTACTTAGGAAATTGAAAAAATAGAGTGCTTCCCAAAAATTACGTTTCGAATTTTATTCTCGGAGTATGAGGAGTATAATTTTTGGAAGAATTGATGGCAATTTCTCAAAATTAAATTTTTAATTTTTCTCGGATTATTTGAAGAAAGATCTCATAATTAAATTTTTTTAACTGTATGTTATGACGAAGCACTAAAGTCAGAGATTAAATCGCAAGAAAATGAATTTTGATGAGTATATAGAGACGAACCATTATCAAATTCCAAATTTAAATCAGCGAATTAAAATAAATATATATATCCACTAGTTTTTTCATAGAATGAGAAACTTGCTTTCGGATTTTATTCCCCAGAGTATAATGAAATATTCAGTCCTTTTGAATAAAGTACAGCAATAGTATAATTCATTGATCTTTCTCGGAATATTCAAATAAAGATCTCGAAATTCTTAGAATTTCGATCTATTCTGGAATAAAATTCACGATTTTGTCTATTTCCTTTCGAATGTATTTTCTACAGTTTTTTTTTCATTTCCTTTTGAATGAATTATGCTGGCGATGTAACTTCTCGATTTTTGTTTCTCGGGATATTTAAATCACGACGTCAAAATTCCTAAGTTTTCATTTTATTCTTCGTATCAGCAGAAAAGGTCACGCGTATTAAAATTCAGAGATGAACTCGTCAGAAAATTTCTCAATCCCGTTTCTCGGTAAATTCTCTCTCAAGAGAGATGTTTCTTCGATTTTATTTCATTTTTTTGAGGGCACCTATGTATATGTATATATATATATATGTATATATTGATGGATGATTGCAGCAGAAGGGAAGACAGCAATTAAGCCTTGTTGGTCCCTCAGCCAGGCGAGTCATTACCATAATTACCCTGTGCCACGACTTTTTGCGTCCCGAGTCAGCTGATGCTTCGTCTCATCTCTTTTTCCGGCTTTCGACCTCGACGTCTTATTTCCTATATATTTGAAACTCGAAAAAACAATGTGTTGAAAACTCGTGAAAATGAACCAAAGTTAATTTTTTTGCAGTGCCTATATACTATCCTTGGATTTATCACAAATGAATATTTGAAAAAGCATCCATGATTCAAGAGAGAAAGATTCATAAAATCCGTGATTTTTCAGAAGACATTTCATTTACAGTATTTTTTAAATTATCGTAACTTTGAAAATGTGTTTATTTCTTGGAAGATTGCCTGATGGCGGTTCAACTGTTCGTTTCTTAAAATTTTGATATTTATCATTCAAGTCTTCCAAACACTTACTTTCAATATAAAGATTAATTATAACGTGAATGTTTCGATTCGTCTGAAATTTTTCCAAAGCACGCTTCAACTCTTTTTTTGTTGAACAAGGACATGATTATTTTTTGTTTCATTTCGCTGACAATGAATCTTTGAAAAGAAAAGCTATATGATCAAAAAGGCAAAGAAAGAAGAAGAAATTTCGAAACCTTTTTTCCTCATTAGGTCAACCTTCGCTATATTCAATCTTCTCGGGAAACATATGCCAAAAGGGACGACGACGAGGTCATGGGAAAGGGATACTTTTTTTTTGTTTCCCAGCGGATTTCGGAAATAACCCACAAAACCCGGGTTACATAACGCGGTCATGACTCGGCAACCAGATGCGTGACCACAGGATGAATCTGCCAATGATTAATTACCCAGTTGTTGGTTTATATTATCTTTCGTATTCCGACTTTTTCAAGTCACCCTTTTCTAAAAGCTTCCGAGTGTAATTAATGACAGCAGACGGTGTGATGAGCACAATTATTGCGCAATAAGCTGCTGTATAGTGTGCTTTTTTTTTGGTCTTCCGATTTTCAAACATGACAGAAATTACATTTTTTCGTCAAGTGCAACATAAATAGGTTTTTTCTACAACGGGTTTCCGCGTGATAGAAAAAAAGCAGGAAAAACGCAGGGTATATTGTAAATTTTTTTCTTGCATTTTTTTCCGCTCTCAATTTCGCGCGCAATTTTTCCAACATTTACCGCAATAAAATTCGACGACGAACAGAAGAAGAAACAGCGATGAGGAAATGAAAATTTGATGATATTTTCACGAAAAAAGCAATCGGCTTAAAGACAAAATTGAATAACTTTTGGGGTTTAATTGTTTTTCGCTTTTACATGCACAATAATGGATATTTAATATAAAAATTTATGGATAAAATATATTTACAATCTTTCATACTTTTCCAACAACGGCTTTCCACGAAATAAAATAAAAAACATGGAGGACAGCTTATTGCAAATATTTTTATTAATGTACTTTTTCAGTTCTCAATAATTTCGCGCGCAATTTTTAGCATTTCTCGCCAAAAAATTTGATAGCAAATTAACAGAAGAAGAAACTCTGATGATGAAATGAAAACTTGATATTTTTACGAAAGAAGCAATCGGCTTGAAGACAAAATTGAATTAAGAATTTTGATTATTTTTTCACTCTTATGATACATGCATAAAAATGATATTTTTTTATAAAAATTAATATGCAAAATACATTTACTATCTTTTGTACTTTTCCAACAACGGTATTCCACAAAATAAAGTAAAAAACATGAAAAAAAGGTTATTGCAAATATTTTTAATGTTTTATTTCTTCAGTTCTCAATTTCGCGCGAAATTTTCCAACATTTTTCGCAATAAAATTCGAAAGCGAACCGAAGAAGAAACACTGATGATGGAATGAAATTTCGTTGACATTTTCATGAAAAAAATCAATCTGCTTGAGGGGGATTTGTATAACTTTTTGTGATGATTTTTGTTTCGCTTTTATACAAATATATGAAAATTAATATAAAATATGTTATTACGATCTCTTTATGTACAGAACTTTTCCAACAATGACTTTTCACGAAATGAAAACGCATGAACAAAAACAGGTTATTGCAAATATTTTTATTATTGCTTTTTTCCGTTGTCAATTTCGCGCGCAATTTTCCAACATTTTTCCCAGTAAAATCTGACAGCAAACGAAAGAAGAAACACCGATGATGAAATGACAACTTGATGATATTTTCATAAAGAAACCAATATGCTTCAAGAAAAAAAATTGAAACGTATTTTGACAAATATTTTCTTTTGCTTTCTTTTTCCAAATTTTCACAGTCGCCGTCGTCGCTGTTGGAGTCGCAGCAGTTCCTGAAGTCAGGGTAAGTGCATCGTTTCATTCACTTGATTCGTGACTTGGAAAAACAAGAACAAAAAAGTTTTTTTCGAGGACAGTGCAGAAAAAAGGGCATGCAAACATATTATAAAAAGTGTAATTATTATTTTTTGGTTGCAAACATTGCTGGAATGAGCCAAGAGAGGAGATTGAGGAACAATTTTTCGGGAGATTTCCCAAGATGTGCTTCTTTTGAGGAGGCGGGAAGAAGAAGAAGAAGATTGCGTCCTTGCATCACAAGTCTTTTTTTTTTTTTTGGCTGGGAAATCTTTTCTTGTTAAGCTGGGGGGGGGGGGGAAGAACAACATGATGATGATGAGGAAACGGAATGGACCTGACACTGGGTCACCGGTGTTGTTTAGTGCAATATGTGGCAGGTTACAAAGATGGAGGAACGATTTTCAAGAACAATATCGGGGCTCTCTTTATTTTCTTGAATCTTATTTTTCAAATATTTCATTTTGCTCTTAGTTTTGTTCAACAGGTGATGAAAGGACTAAATTTACTTGCTCGTCTTTCAGAAACTCATGACCGAGAAATCGCGAATATTCCCGCAACATTTGCTTAAAGACCTGCTTTCGAGAATAAGGAAGCAATTGAGAAACAAAATATTTCTTGTCAATAAATATTGTTTTCCGAAACTTGATTCAAAATACAGGCTTACTGAAAGAAGAAACTGCCAGAGACGGAATATATTAGTTTTTTGTAGCATCCCCAAAGTGAGTTTAAAGTGTAAATTCAAAAAATGGAAAGTATGATAAAACTTTTCACATTTTTTTTAAATTTTCTGGACGTGAATGTGTGATTTTGATTTTCTCAGAAGTTCTCGTTTCATTCATTGAAACAGCAATATTAAAGAATATAGGCAGCATCAAAGTTTTCTTTTGGGTGCATTAAATTTGTCACACAAAAATTGAAATATTAAAAAACAAAATTGACATACCAATCCAATACTCTACAGCAATATTTGCACTAAGACTTCTTTGATCACAAACCCCTGAATTAAGATTAAAGTCCTCAGCAATCTATATCTGCAGTCTGACCACTGGGATATATATTGTGATCATTATTTTCACATCTTTTTGCACACAAAAAACCAGGGTTCATCGAATGTGCCACAACTTAGCACAATCACAATCACAAGCATTGAGATTATTATTGGGCAATAAAATTCTGTAGGCATTGCAAAAATGCTTGCAATTGGGCATTCATTTTTTTAAGGCTTGTGGACTTGCTATATATTGCAGTAAAACTGATATAATCACAATCAAAACCAGCATTGCCAAATAACTGCTGCAGTTTTTACATTTTTTCGGACAAATTGATTTAAATCCTGATCAAATTGCAATTTAAAATGATTACCTTTGTTCATGAATTGTGCAATTTGCTAAATGGAAGAGTATACAGTATACAGTATTAATCTTTTGTGGCTTCAACTGCAAAGAGGTTGGCATAGAAAGAATTTCATCATAGTACAGTATTTTAAATTGGTGATTGTACTTGAATGAAGTAATTTTGGTCATTCATCCATTGGATACTACCATAGAAAGGCCATTTAACTTTATTCATAATTTTAAATATGTTATTCCTTTACCAAGGCAGATTTTTCATGTTTCTTGTCTGATGAAAATTCAAATGGAATGAAAACACTTTGCTTCCATATCATGCAGATGTAGTGTTTTGATTAGATTTTTCTCTGGTACTTGCTTCATCCAATAAAAGGGTTTTGACATTTTTTTAAATTAATGTGTGATGAAATAGCAAATTATTACAATAAATGTAAAAATCAGAGTATGGAAATGGTGAAAATAGTTGCAATTATACCCTTGTGATTGGGTAATAAATTAATAATACTGTACATTCAAATCCATAATGAATATGATTGTGGATTCAAAACAACAGTGCTTTGTAATTGCAATTTTGATTATAGGAGGATTTTCTGGGTGTGCGATTGGGCAATTGAAATTTTTTGATTGCGATTAACAATAACCCTGCTCGCACCCAAAAAAAAATTAATCCAAAATTCAAAATGATAACAATGTCAAGAACATCAATTTCAAAACCGAGTCCCAGCAGTGTATTATTACAGCCTTTATCTGATGCTGTGAAACTATTTTTAAAAGAGCAGGTTTTTCTTGTTCGGTCTAATTATTATGTTTATTATTTTTCTCCTTGTTTAAATATATTCTTATCTTTGAGATGTTGGTTAACTTTGTAATTTTATTACTTATTTTATTGTTTTTATAAGGCATGTGACAATAAATTAAAAAAAGCAATAGTATATAATACCCTAAAGAAATTGCGCAAAATAAACAGTCCAACTGTTTTATTTATTTTTAAATCAATTTATATCTCTCTTTTTTTCACAAGAAAAAAATTATATTTATTCACAGCATAAATACGGTATTCTCCTTACGGAATGCCAAATTGTATCTTTCCCTAAAACGTTCCTGTATATACGTAGGTTTTTTTTTTTTTTTTTTTGAGTGATGGATGCCACGTCGTCGCTCGTCTTACGAATAAGGCGGCCTTGACGCCCAGGGCGGCGTGTAATCAACCCGCGGCGGCGATTATTCTCCTCCTCCTCCTCCGGGTCGTCTTTTTTTTTTTCTGAGTGATGGATGCCACGTCGTCGCTCGTCTTACGAATAAGGCGGCCTTGACGCCCAGGGCGGCGTGTAATCAACCCGCGGCGGCGATTATTCTCCTCCTCCTCCTCCGGGTCGTCCTCACTTTTTCCGTTCCCCGAAATCCCGGGTCATCTTCCTCATCCCCCAGAAGAAAATAAAAATAAAAATAAATTCTTCGAAGAAGAAGAAGAAGAAGACAAATACCTCGCGCTTGTTTGTCCGACTCCGAATTTCGGGTCGGTTGCAGCAGGGCCCGTGATTTACGCCTCTCTCGGATGCAGGCGTTGTAATTTAAATAAAAATAAAATGAAAAAAATGGTGACGCAAGCGCTGACGACCAGTGTGTATATACTCGTTTATATATAAGGAGAGATGAAGAAAAAAGGGGATCTTGTGTAAATTTTATTTTTGAAAAAAAAATAATAATATTAAAAATAAAATAAAATAAAAGAAGAGACCCCATCAGGGTCGGGTCACGGCTGCTGGCCACACCTCAGTGGCTGACCCTGCTCGCAGCAGTTTGCTCATCCCCTGAGGGCAATAGAGTGCCTGTGAATATAAATGCTTAGTCGGATGGACACGGGTCATCATCATGAAGAGGAGGAGGAGGAGGATTTCATCATATATCGACGATGGGGGAAGAGTGTAATAAATTTTCATCCCGAATCCCGACGAAGCTTCATTTGATTTCTTTTTATCTTGCGGGAACCATTTATGTGTGAAATTCTAATGCGATAAAATACCCCGCAATTTATTTACATCATTGCTGGGTGGGTGCACAACTAGAAATTCAGAAATGCAGATATTTGTAAAAATGGGGTAGTTATCCCTGTCTTATAAAAACAAAACTTGTTGCTCAACATTTGAAATTCGTGCCGGAAAAGAAAAATTAAATTCTACTAATATGCTTTGCTTCTATAAGAAATAATTTTGTGAAATGTATACGCAAAGAAAAATTATTCCACTTCAATGATGATGACATATTTGAAATTAAATCACGCTCTCAGCAGACGAAGAAAACAAAAGTTCAGCTCAAGAATATCTTTGATTCGAGTGTAGACTGAATTTTTAAACCTCTTTCTTCGATGATTGTTGGAAAATTTCCTGTCGATTTATTTCAGCTGCGTTTTGAAAATTTACAGATTGTATTCCCGCGTTGAGAAACATGCAATTTTTGAAATTGTAGTGGTAAATTTATTCGAAGAGTAAATTTTTTCAACGTGATGTCCAACGTTATTTCAATTAATCTAGGAAACGAACTTTTGTGGAACAATATTTCTCAAATGATAGGTTCTAAAAATAGACTGAGTTCGCGTGTTCAATTTTCCTCAAATTATTTTTGGCTCTTCATGAGAATATCCACTCCTCCAAAATTAAACAGAAAACTTTAGAAATGACCCTCTTATTTTAGTCAGATTTTGATTGTTTCTTCATCGGAAAAAGTAAACAATTCTTCCCAAATTTAGATTCAATAAATATATGATACTAGGAAAAAATCAAGAAAAAGTCATCGCCAAGAAAATTCGGGAAACTTGAGGAAGTTGACATTATTTATGCTCTTCCAGAATTTCAAAAATTTTTATCACAATCTTGTTCAAATTAAAATTGGGATAAATTGGCTTAATATACTGTACGGTGAAACTTTTTCTTCGATCGGAAAAGGAAAAAATGTCACCCAAAAAAAGGTTTCGATGATTTCTAAAAGAGACTTGCTTCACTCTTTTATTCCTAGCAATAAAATCTCGTTGTAAAAAAGTTAATGCTTACAGCGAATATTTTTGTCTCTGTTTAATAGCCAATATCATATTTTCATTTCGTTTCAACGAACTTTTGTTTGCAAAGCAAAGCTTTTCCAAGACATCCCATTGGTTCATCCNTTTTTCCTCGGCAGTATCGGCAATATTGAATGGGACGAAAGGGGACAAATTAGTGCAGAAAACTGCCCAAGAATCAAATCAGACATATTTTGCAGTCAAATTTCCGGTTTATTTTTCGGAGGGGGGATTTGAAATTTTTGATGATACTGTATTACAAAAAATTAAACAATAATTACTGACCAAATCTGTACAAAAGTCAGCAGAAAATTCTTTTAGATGCTGAAAATTTTAGCAGCTTCTGCAGAACTTGCGGATTAAACCTGTTTTATTTTATTGTGCAATAAAAGGATAATAAAAAGAAGAAGAAGAAGAAGAAGAAGAAAAAGGAAGATGACCCAGGAAGCCAGAGTTTGAGTAGTGTGTCATGACCGCGGTCAAAAGGCGTGTGATGCAACTCAACAACAGCAAAAAAAAAAAAAAAACACTTTGCTTATGATGGCACAAAGATACACGAAATAATCGTAAAGTTGGGGTTTGAAGAAAAAACAAAAAAGAAAAACCCTGGCTTGAGAATGTGAATGTTTCCTCTTCAATCTTTATCATCATCTTCTTCCTCTTCTTCTTCTTCTTCTTCCCTCTTGAGACACACAGCGTTTATTCCTTGGCCCCAGGGGACGATTTTCTTTTCTATCATGGGCTCTGCTTATTATATTTTATTTCACGATTTCTCATTTATTTGGCTTTCAAGTCTCAGATGCCGGGAAAAAGAATTAAACTTAAATTTCAGTGCTTCGTTTTTCAACGCAAGTGGTTTTAAAGGCAAAATTTGATTGCACAAAAATCCACGCTGAGCAGACTGCTTAGGATCTTTTTTTTTTTTACTGGCTATGTATTATTAGCACAGTAATCTAGATAATCATAACCGGAGTAAAAACAATATTCCATCAGTGGATAATGCGAGGTTTTTTTTTCATTTGAAAAAAAAATAAACAAGAGGTCATGAAATGATGATGAGGGTTTCAAAATATTTACAAAAAAAATCCTTCGGAGGATTCCTGTGGTGAATAAGTGGAACCATTTTGTGGTCGGATAGTGTTCTTTTTCGAAAATTCGAAACCATTATACGAAATAGCAAACAAAATTATGCAAAAATTCGCTTCCCTCCATCTGTGGGATTGTATTTTAGTAAATAACCCAAGCAGAATTATTTCAGATGAAATGTGCTTGATTTGCATAAAATTTCACCTTAATTTTTTGGAAAAAAATTTCTCGTCAACTTTTCCCATTGATTATACGTTTCTGCGATTGAAATTTTTTTCGGAACTTCAAAGTTCTAACGGGATTCAGAAACTTTACAGTTTTATCAAAATGCAAAACACAAAAAGGAATTGATTGATTTCTCTAAAATAAATAAACGTGTTCATAGCAGATACTCTTAGATTTTTTTGAAGGATATTAAGACTTTGAAGATATATAATTAAAATGGTGTGAACTTTGAAGAAAAAAACAGTGCATTCATCATGAGTTGCTGAAATTTGTTCGACCTCAAATATCCTCAATATTTTGTAAACAATTTCCTCGAATCAATTATTTTTATATAGAGATATGATTTCAAGTGGGATGAATTGAAGGGTTTCGCTTTCAGAATTTGAAATATGCCACTTTTCCCGAGAGAAAAAATGCCGGATATTCAAGAAAATTTAAAGAATTTGACAAGAACTTGAATTTTAGCCCGGCTGCAGGAGGAATAATAATTAAACTACATAATAAATCCAACCCCTTGGATTCGAACTAAATTATTTGACAGTCCCGGAAATGAGCAAAGCAATTCAAGCCATTGCTGCCAAAATCAGCATGGAAGGGCAACAAAAGAAATATACGCAGATTTTGAAAAATGATGTGAATCACTGGCTTTGAGTCTATATAGTAAAATGTGCAACTTGGCCTTCAGAATTACATTAAAGGTACTGCTGTAGTTGCTGGTGTTTTAATTCCTTTTTCTGCCATTTTTGAACAAATGAATGAACGGAACACTTTATTTGCCACTTTTCAGCGTTCACAAGGTTCAATCAAGATTTCCACAACCAAAACCCCTTCCCACCCAAAACAAATCCACTCAATGACATTTAATCACTTCAGAGCAGCAAACAGAGCACAAATTGATAAAAAAATGAAAATAAAATCCACAAAATACAACTGGACATCTGACATGTTTTCATACACCCATTCATCCCCTGACATTGAAAACAAAATACACGTAAAAATTAATTTAAAGCACAATGTCTTCAGCTTGTTTCTGTATGAGGTTTAGTTGAATGAACAATTTAGAGAGAATCTTTGATGAGAAATCATATAAGGCCAACAGTTTATCTTGATCCTTTAAGATTTCAGAAAGGGTCTCTTCATTGATTTCCAATACTTGCAAATCTTTCTAAAGCTTGTTTCAGAATTACATTGAAGGCACTGCTGTAGTTGCTGGTGTTTTACTTCCTTTTTTCTACTATTTTTATTGCTAATTTTTTACCATTCAGGAGGTTTATGCAAAATAAATTCTTCTATCATGAAATGGATAGTGTCATAAAATCGGGAAATTTTGCTTTTGAAATCGAGTTGAATGCCGTACAGAGGAGAAGAGTTTCGAAAATATTTTTTTAAATTATTATTTATTTATTTATTTGGCAGAACAAACGTCAGGCGGCGGACATCGAAGCCCAGTTGGGTTTGCCCAGCAATTCCACGTCCATCAGGGCCAACATCGTGGACACGTTTTCCTGCGATGGCAAAATTTACGGGTACTACGCAGATCCCGACAACGAGTGCCAAATCTTCCACATTTGCATGCCCGACGTGTTTCCGGACGGACGTGAGGAAACCCGTCGCTGGTCCTTCGTCTGCCCCGAGGAAACCATCTTCGACCAGGTTACTTAAAAAAAATATAAAAATCACATTTCGACTATTCGACCTCGAAATCTGCACATTTTTCCTTGCTTTGCACTTTTAACATTTTAACGATCGAAGCACGCAAAACTGTTTCGATCCATTCGAGTACTGTAATTTTGATTCCATTCGAAGTCATTTGATTTTTTCTTTTCAAATCAAATATCTTGCGACGTGGGAAGTTTCTGCACAAATGCAAATAGTTTTTGCAAAAAAATTTGAAACGCAATTGGGGGTTTTTTTTTTGCAGTGACAGAATATAGCAAACATTTTTCATCTCATCCTCATAAAATCAATTGATTCGAAAAGACGATTGCATTCCAAAGATTCATCTTCAGATTTAAAAATAACCGTTAAATAATCTGCACATTTTTCATGTTAATTTTCGCAAACGAAAAGGTCATCACAAAGTTTCGATTTCGACCAAGACCCGATTTTTATTCCAGTATCATCTGCCAAAAACCCCAAAATTGTTTCGATCATTTCGAATAATTTTGATTTCATTTGCAGTGCTTTAATTGTTTCCCATCAAATCTTGCGATGTGGAAAGTTTCTGCATGAATGCAAATAGTTTTTGCGCAAAAATTCGAAACGAATCGAAACGCAAT